TACATGGCTGGAGTCTGTTCCATTCTGTTTCTCTCAGCCTTCTTGACACAACCACATTTGTGATTTTGTGAGACACAATGTTTTCATCATCAGTCAACACAAATCCTACATGTGGCCCTTAGAATTGTGGCTGATATCTCTGGTGAGTATCTTCCCTGCTGGGTCTTAGTGGCTTCATGGATAGAAAAGCTAGAGACTATCAACATCATTGACTAAAACAGTGTAAAAAATGCTCTCCCTACATTTTTTATTTAGTAGATATTGTCACTATTTGGTTTTATGTAGTTGACTGCTTTAGTAAATTATGTGTTTATTTTTGGCATGAATATGGCATTTTGAGAGAACATATGTGTCTGAGTTATTTCTAACTTGTGTTAACATTAAGCACTTTATATAAATTCCCTGAGGCATCCTGCCCAATACAAGTTTATCTTTCAGAATTGGTTACCAAAATGAGCATAAAAGTAGGTTAGTCTGAATTAAAAGCAATTTTTAAATGGGGGATGAAATGCCTACTGGCAAAATATTCATGAACCAGAAATAGCAATTATCAAAAATCAAGAGGTAAAGTATGTTCCATAATCATAAACATACTGCTGATACAAAGCAAAAATTTAAAGTCTGGGCTTTTCAAAATGAGTTGCAATCTCTAAAAAACTAGTTCAAATTTGGGGAACTATTAAGCCCCAGACTAGAAGATCTTTCTCTTATGTTACAATTTTTGGCAAAAGTAATAAAAATCCTCAAACATCTTTAACTAGAATAATCACACCTTGAATTGACATGCAAACCAATGCTATTACAGGTAGAGCCAGAAGATACAGGAATAATAGAACCAAAAGAACAAAGGTCATGTCCCCTTGATTACCTTTTTCCTGAGTCAGAAATACTTTGTGACTGCAGGCTAATCTACATATTATATTTGGATAGTTGTGGCTTCATCTAAATCTTTCAGTGTCCATTAAATTGAGCAACAAAACATAAAGATAACCTTGGCTAAGGACAGTTCTTGCATTCCTAATATAAGTAGTACTTATCTCAGAAGTTATTTCTGAATTGTGGCTTGAGCACAGGAATATAAGTAGAAAGAGAAAAATATTCCTTTAGTAGATACATGAGGATTCCTTTTGGGGAGGGAGCCATCTTTGTTGGGAAAATTTCTACACTGGGCAAGAGGCAGAAACAATATATGCACAAAATATTCTATGGTTTCTCTGTGCTTTGGAACCCTTTAAAGTTAGTGGAGCCACGTGGGGCATCTTCTGGCCAATAAACTATAAGAAATGACTTTGAGATAAAAGCAATGAGAAGTACTGAATGTATTGGAATGGAGGAGCCCCTGTAGGCCTGGGTCCTTAAGTGACTCTGTGAAGCACAGCTTTTTAATGAAACATACTAGATATCTACCAAGAATAGAAAATAATTTTTTTGTAGTAGACACTAAGATTTTGAAATTGATTCGTTATGAAAGCTTCATCTCACATATTCTAATACAGACTAGAAGCCTAGGTATTCACTGAACTGATCTGCATGATGAATTTGGCTCTTGTTCTAACAAAGGTAAAGAAAACTAGAGGGTAAAGAGACGAAGTGAAGCTGTAAGGTATATCATGCAATCCCCATCCAGTAACTTTCAGATCTTAAATGTATGCTACCCCCCCAAAAAAAATCACAAAATGCTTGTTGTCAGTGGATTGTCACTAAAGATCCTTATACAAGGATAATGCAGGAATAAAACAGAGACACTGTGCTTTCTTTCAGAACCTGGGTCAAAACAGCACTGGAAAATAGGAGAAATCTTGAGCAAGCCTATGAAATCTTCAACCCATGAAATGGGAGGGGGATGAAGTCCTCCTGTGTCCAACTCAAGAAATCCTAAGCTTTCTTATTTTGTCTAAGCTATTGAAACACTTTAACCATAGGGAGAGGCTTTATACTTAAAAATAAATTACTTTCACTTCAGTAAAATCCAACAATCCAATAATATCATAAAGCTCAGGAGCTCAGGATTAGAAATAACGTTAAAGTCACCTACTTTAGCCATTGGACACATCCAGCGGCAGAGAATTCACTCTTTCCACATATTTTATTATCTGCTTGAATTTGACAGGCTGCTAGTTCTCCCTAACTTTGAGCTGAAGTCTTTCACCCCATAACTTTTATGCAGTGGCTCACATTTTACCTCCTGAGGCAAATAAAACAAGTCTAATCCCTCTTCCATATGGAAGACCAAATAGGTCTTCACATACTTGAAGGTAGCAACAATCTTGTCTTTCTTCCTCTGCAAGTTATTTTGGATCTGTGTTACCCTTATTCACCATGTCTGGATGAAGTCTGTTCCCTTTTCTAATTATTCTGTCCTTCAGAAATGGGTTAGGTGTCAGGGAGGGGGATAAGAGGGAATATGGATCATGTTAATATGATGTTAATATCAAACAAAGATCCAATTAAGCAAGATTTCTTGTCTGCTCATTATCTCTTCATGGATCTCGCTTCAGGGACCCATTAAGTGGAAAGAACCAAAGTTTCCTTTTGAGTAGATCAAGTAAAGGCTGTCCTCGTGTTATAATGGGAGAGTATCCAGACTCTCTGCATTAAAATCCAATACCCAACACAAAAGACTTACCCATTATCTCTTCTTTGGGTACATAGGTTTGCCTGATGTATCACCTCAATAACAATTATGAAACCCCTGCAGCCCATTCATCAAGATAAGATCATCCATTCTCATTGGCTAACAACACTCTGAAGAGTCAAAATCAAAACTGATGTCACTGACCCTATATATGTGGATGGTACTGAAATCAGGAAGCATCCCTCCTCTGTATGTTTCTGACCTTGTTTATAACCCAAGCCACCAATATATTATTATGTTCCTCATGTCTTACTCTGTCTCCAAACAACTCCTTCAGATTTTATTTTCAGTCTCTGATTTTTACCATCAGAAAGGACTGGAAGAAATCCAAGGAATACACTTCTTGCTGACTTTTTCTCTCCAATCTCTAGGCAAGTCTTTGGGCTAGATTTAGACTCTTCCACCTCCTTCACACAAATAATCTCTTGGAGATCAGCCCACTAGTCCTCCAGAATTGGCTATGTAAGTCTAAATTTTAGGCTAAATGTGGCCAAGGCTCAGGTTGAAAGTCAGGACTACCTATTTCTTAAGTATGTTTAGTTTGAAGAGGAGGAAATGCAGGAATAAGTTTAAACTAGAAAAATGTCACAATAGGTGTGTTTTGGTGACAAAGCACTTGTTAGCACAAGGGTAAATGTTATTTTAAATGGGGCAAAGGAATTAGGAATAAATTTAAGTACTCCTAATGTAAAGCTCTATTTCCTAACTTGGAAATGATTTCCCTTACCAGCAGCTGATTGGCCAAGTTATGTAATCTTTCTGAGCCTTCATTTGCTCATCCTCAGATTTTTGGTGAGAACTACATAATATAAAATCTGTAGTGCCTGTAACAAAGTAAAGACTAATACATGTTAGCATTTCTCCTTCCTGCCCCAGTTCAGCTCCCTTCTGTTTTCTGATCCAGGAAATATAGGTGCAGGTACGTTAGCAGTATAAGTGGACTCACCACCCCAGATGAAGCAGCTGGCCAGGCCCACCTTTAAGTACCAGGGTGGACAGATATCTCCTGCAGGCCTTCCCTGGCATGAACTATGAGAAAACTTAGTTCCATGAGATGTAGTTGAGGCTACAACTCAACTCGTGTTTTCAGGTGCTCAAGAGGGAAGAAAGGTTGGCTCATGTTTTTTCACCCAGATAGAAATAAGCATCAATAAAAGGACTTTTTTAAAAAATGAGATATCTGCACATGAGATGTATCTCATGTATTTGCCTTTTTATCTGAAGAAAGCCAGTATCTTTGACAGAGGAAAAGAATAATAATGAAAATGTCCCACCATGAGACAGATACCACAGCAGCTCAGCGTGGTGTAACGCCAGACAGTAAGCCCTGAAATAAGAAGCATTTCATCTAATGTATACAGAAGCCAATGTAGACTGGAGGGGAGAAAATGCCACCTTCCTTCCTTGCCATTTTCCCCAGTGTACCTTGAAAAAGGGAAGAAAATTTTTTAAATAAGTAAGGCCAGAATTCTTCCCCCTACATCCTTGCCCCCAAACATCTTGCTAGTAACAGAAAGGCATTAACTCAGAGGGCAGGCTGCCACCTACTGGGCCACCAGGAACATCCCTCAACATATTTTGCTGGCCTTTTGAGGAACCTCCTTAAAAATCCTGATTTGGCCTGAAGCTGCTTTGTTTAGTAATATAACAACAACAAAAAAAAGTTTTAAAAACAAACCCATAACCCAAGCTACTACTATACTGAAATTTAAAAGGTGCAGCATGAATTAATCATGTAGCCATATCTTTTGCAGCAAAACATTTTTGTTTTTGGCATCAGAGACCCTGAGAATTCAAAGGGAAAAATAAACCTTTTTCTCTAACTTTCTCTGTTGTTTTCTAAGGACAAAGTGCTTTAATAGTCAGTAAGTGCTGCTAATTGCTCCCCAGACAGCCCTAATCTAGTCATTTCCTCTCTGCCTTTTACTCCATAAATCCTCCCGAAGGCGAATATATTGGTTAGCATTCCTCAAAAGCACCCATTGGATTCGATTGGTTTACATGTTGTGAATAGTTTCTCTACACTCACCCATTTAAAAGAGCCTATTTTTACTAAATCTACTATTGATGCTCAGAACCACTTCAGGCTGATCTTGATGACATCAAGATCAACCACCAAGCCCTGTTCATTTTCTTTTCTTCATTATCTCTCTTTTTTAGATTGTCACCTGTATTCAGTAAAAACCAGAAAATCTGATATCTTTACTTCCAACCAATTCTGTGCCTTTGGACACATCATTACACTTCAGATTTTTCTTTTATAAGGCAAGGAAAAGAATCCTGCCCTATAGTAGAGCTATGATGATGGTACTAATAATAACAGTAGTAATAATAATAATTTAATGAAGATGATGGATATACTTACTTGGTACACACTCCACAGCTGTCTCATGTTAAACACTTTGCCATACTCTGAATCTTTCAAAAAATCCTGCCTGTGTGGTAGGACTCGTCATCCTAAAGAAGAGAACAGAGATTAACCTAACATCAAATATGGAGTTGACACAGGAAGCAGAATTTACATTCAGAACTTCCAATCTGGGCCAGGTCTATTTCTTCTACCTCTTGCTTCTGTTTTCATGCAAGAGAAGGACAAATATAAGTGAATGCACTTAATGAGGATAAAGCTACACAATAAATTCACCTCCAACAGAGAACAAAGACTAGCCCTTGAAATAACGTGAAAAAGTTGGCCCCCAACAAATACTTACTACTCTGAGATATAGAAATATTTGCCTAAGAGATAGGCAGATAGATATATACATGATTGATAATAAGCTCTTTTAAAATGACTCCTCTTTAAAAATGTTAAACTGTGTTCAACTGTGTTCACAAGAAGCATTATTTTGGTTCTCTTCATTTCAGGCTTTTTCCCCCTGCATGTTTACAGCTTGCTTAATTACTTCATTGGGCTTTGGAACTCATACATTACCGATATGTGATCATCCAAGTCATTACCTGCATATTTTCCCATTAAGAATAATTATAGCTCTTACCACCACTGCCCACATACTTATGTCCTGCAGGCCTGGGCACACTGAAGTAATCATCTTTTGAAAATGATCTTGATGGGCAAGTGTTGTGCGCACAATCAGCAATAAGCAAGATGAGGTGGGAAGATTTCCATCTCCTCCATTATTGAGCAGCTCAAAAGAATCACATTCCCATTATTTCATCACAGCACCATGCAGGACACTGAGATGGTTTATGTTCTCCTGAAAAGCCAGTTAACGCTAAGTGCAGAGACAAGACCCATGGGACCCTGGATTGTATCTGCCTCTCATGAATCACCTTTCCGAGCACATACACATCACCCACTTCCTGACTCGATTTCATTGTCTACAAAGTGAGATTTATAAGATGTTTTTAAAACCTCTGATCATCAAATCCGAGATGAAACAATCGTATACGTGGCAGCACAGCCTTTTACACTGATGAACTGCGGAAGGTCTGGAATCCCGGCTCCTCCACTTTGTCAACTCTATAACCTTAGGATTCTTACTTAACCTCATGGAACCTCAGTTTCCACATCTGTAACGGGGGTAGTAATAATCCACACACCTTGAGAATTCAGTGAGATCCCAAGGGAAGGCATTGTGCCCAGTGTCTGGTACAGGAGAGCATTCAACTAACATCTGCTACTATTGTTATCACCAAGGCTAAACTAAAAGAGTCTGTCAACTGCTCAACAGTGCTCAAGCAATACATCTAAATTAAAACCATTAATCATCTGCTAGATAATATTCCAAAGACGTTGTGAAGGGGTCACATGTTATTTTAATCAGTGGATCACAAGTAGTACAATTTCAAAGGTAGGAAGAAGACAAGCTAGCAGATGTTTGAAAAATATTAGGTCCTAAGAAAAAGATATATCTATATATCTAGATATATATAACTAGTTATTGATTGATATGCAACTGGTTACTTCAGAAGCTAAATAAATTTTTTTAAAATTTTTTAAATTAAAAAAATTTTTGTTTTATTTTCAACCCAAGTTAAAAGTCTTCATTGTTAGTTTTTAAATATTTAAATAAGCAATAAAAAGCTTCTAAAATTCATTAAAATTGTCCATTTCCACAGGAAGAAAAGGTCCAAAGGGGAAGGGGAAGTGAGGATGGCAGGGGAAAGGAAAGAAGGGAAAGAATTAAATATGAGAAAAGGATAAAGTGGAAACAAAATCTTTGTAAACAGGGAAGGGTGGAGGGGTTGAAGGGAGGACGGGGAATGGGGAAAAATAAGAACCAAGATAGATTTTGTAAAGGTACAAATTTCCAATAATAAATGTCAGCATATCATATACCTAAAATGTCCCAATAAAATTAATGAATAAAAAAATTGACCATTTCCAAGTAGAAACAAGAATTGATATTTCTTGTAAATCATTCTGCTAGTTCACATCCAAGCCCTGTCTCACACTCTTCGTATACAATAAATAATGTTTTCCATACACATTCTTCTCTATGTACTGCTCTTTTCACTTAGCCACATATAGTAAACACCTTTCTATGTCATTTAATATTTTTGTTATCTTCTTACTGGTCCCATAATATTCTAGTGAATTAATGTAATTTATTCAGCCAAACCTCTATTGTTGGTTATTTAGATTTTTTCCAAAATGGTTCTCATGAATATTCATATAACACAATCTTTAAACAAATTTCTGAAACTGGATTTGTTAGATGCATGAGAGTACACTTTGTTCCCCCCACAAATGAGATTTAAATCCCATACTTTTACACCAGATTGTGCTTGTAGACACGTCCTCATTTTACCTGGGATCTGGAGTCCCCACTGGAGTCCTGTGTGTGTTTCTTCTCAGACAGACTGTCTTTGCAGCAGGTTCTGCTGGCATCAGCCAGGCTGCAAGTAGCAAGTGACCAAGGGCTCTGAGTGTGCTGTCTACCTAGGCCCCAGGAGATTAAACATGTCACATTTGTAACCTTCTCAGCTGTGCTTCCTATAGCTTGGGACAGTGTAAGCTTAAGGTATCCTAGCCAATAGCCCAACTGGATTTGATTAAGCATGCAGGCATCTTGATTTTCCAGGACACATCTGGTGTCACTGATTTGAGTAGAGTGGTGTTAGAAACCGTTTGTTTAGAAAATTCAAGCATTTTTAAGTGACTTGAAATGTAAGTTTGTCAAGGCTCTCTAGAATAGAAAACCTCTAGGAGAACACACAAGCACTTGGAGACAAGGGTGTGCCTCTTGCTAGGGAAGCGAAAGTAACAAAAGAGGGTGTCGGACTTTTCACTGTATTCTTTTGCACAGCCTTAGTTTATTGCATGTGTAGCTCTAATTTCTTATTTTTTTCAAAAGGGAGCTTTTGGTGTGTTGGGGGTTTTGTTTTGGGGTGTTTTTGTTTTTGGTACCAAGAATCAAACTCAGGACTTTGTGCTTGGGAAGTGGGCGCAGTGCCACTGAGCTAAATCCCCAGTGCCTCAAAAGGGAGTTTTTTAAGTAGAGATGAAGCCCCCCCAAAAACAATGCATGCATAAAGTTGTTATGGCCAACTACTTGACTGGTAAAATGTAGGCAACGGCAAAGTGATGGAACGATCTCACAGAAATGGTTGTAGTTAAGAATGCAAGCTCTGGTGCCAGACTGCCTGGGTCCATGGTGCCGCTCTGTCAATCGCTATGTAACTGTGGACAGTTATTAAGCCATGCTGTAGATCGGTGTCCTCATCTTAAAATGTGGCTAACAATAGTGGCTCCTTCACAGTTAATTCAGTAAAGGAGTGAATACATGAGTGACCTTAGAACAGTAATTAATACATTGTGCGTATCGATGTACATTAGCTTGTTGTTGCTATTATTCTTCATTCAACTTGTACAATGTTATAATTATAATAGCAAAGAACTCGCACTATGATTTGTAGATTTTGAAAATGAAAAGAGCGTATTTACTGTGAATATCTGATCTTTATGGTGTTATTTACAATGATGCAAATAGAAGGAAATGGAGCTGGAAAATTTGATTCTAAATTTGAGAAGTGTTGAAAGTCTCTGCAACAATGTCTCTCAGATCATTTCACAACAATGTTATCCATGAATAGATGTTAAAGGATTCTATACAGGAAATTTGGTTTTATATTCTTTATTTTGTGTGCATTGTATGTGATTTTTGGCATGTTTGTTATCTTTTGAGTGTGGGTGAAGGCAGTGATTTAAAAATGGTAAAATGAGAGGGGATTGTTTTTTAAGTATGTTACATTACAGAAATTGTATGTTCAGCATTATATCCTTGTAAATTTGTAACTCATATTTTAAGATTACTCATTACTCATAGCACTTACATGTTAATACTTTAATATGCATTGTCATTGAAATAACCTTCGGTAGGTATAAAATATATTTGTATTCTTCCCTGGTATTTATAAATATGCACTTGATCATTGTTAGTGAACTACATGATCCATTTTAAAAATGACATTTTAAAAGGGCTAAAGGTGTAGGGGAACCGGGAAGGGTAGGGGAAAGGTAATAAGGGAAAAGGAAAAAAATATGAGAAAATAAAAAAATGGAAATAAAGTGTTTGTAAATAGGGAAGGGAGGAGGGGGTGAAGCGAGGGCAAGGACAAGGGGAAAAAATGAGAACCGAGACCTGTCATGTAAAGGTACAAGATCCCAATGATGAATGTAACTGTACTGTATACCTAAAATGTACCAATAAACTCAATGAGAGAGAAAAAAATGATGTTTTTAAATAATATCTTGACCTATAGATGAGTCAACAAAAGAGTTATATAAATACGTATAAAATAGATTTTTTAAAAATCCTGCGTAGGTGATTTTAAAGTGCTAAGCCAGAATTCTCCAAGAGTGAGAAATAGCTTTAGCACTGACTGCATTTTGCACAACTAAAACTGTACTCAAAATATTACTGCTTCTGTTTTTAATCTATATTTTATTTGGATGTTTATTTGTGTGGAGCACAGGGACTGACTAACATTGGAGTTAACTGCCTACTGTTTGTGATCACTTGCTACGCTCCTTCTCATTTATGAAGTAAGGACACGTAACAGGAGTCTGTTGCAGACTTTGTTGTGTGACTGCCCCAGTCACTCTGTCCTTACCTTCCTGGCAGAGTCTGGGTACCCTCTGCTTCTCAGGGACAGGAGGTAAATCCTGGATAGTTTGGATCAGTAATGATAACCCATTTTCACTGTCAGCAGTTGCTGCATGGTCATAGTGCCCAAGTCTAAATAAATGAACAAACACACCTAGCAGGTTGTTTCTGGAAAAAGTTTCTTCACAGGTTTAAGGACTCAAGCACCACAAAGCAGGATCTTTTGGGGAGAATGATCTTGTCTGGATGTGGTTCCTGGTAGCATCTTCCAGCAAGGGCTTACAGTTTATTAAAACTGGAAGGTTCTAGAACTTGGATAACAGAATCACTGAACCACAGAATCAAGCAGCCTTGTGGCCACTTGATGTCTGAACTATTTCTTTTGTGAGAGATTATATTTATTTTTAAGCCAGCTGGCTTAAAATGCTCTGCTTCTAAAGACTGAAGACATTCTGAAATGTTACACTTTTGTAGGAGTTATGAAATTCAGAAATGGATTTCAGGTAAATCACTTATTTTGTGTTTCAACAGAGATCTTATTTTCTGTAAATTGTGATATAAATAGTTTGAGCATTGGAAATCAACTTAAAGCAATTAAATGTGTATGCCTCCTTAGACTGTCCTATTATTAACCTGCAAAATTACATTTTTAGTGCATGAATAAATTTTGTCAGAGGTAATGTATTCATGGATTATTACTGTTAGTTGGAAGTATATGGTGTGAGGTAAAGATCTAATTTTACTTTTAAATGATTGGCCTTATGCCATCCTACATCATTTAAATAACTTTTATTATACCTTTATACCACTAAGCTGAAATGAAATGCTGTGTTTTTCACAAGTATAACACATGGCTCCTGTTTTTGTTGTGCAACAGTATTTTTCATAGTCTTCTGGTTGTGATTATGTTACATAAAGTAATTAAAAGTCTGGTTATTTGTTTTGAAAAATGGCAAAGTGAAAGTTGCAGTACCTATTTCATTTGGTCACCTCTTAAGCAGCTATATCTTTAAGAAGCATA